ATGGGCTTTAATAAAGTAGCCGTTAATAAATTTTTCGAGCTTGTTAAGAATGTCATTGACATAAATAAAATTGATGTCGAAAGAGTATGGAACGTCGATGAAACAGGCATTTCTACTCTCCCTAAGTCGCTGTCAAAAGTTATTTCCACAAAAGGAAAAAGACAAGTTGGCTCTCTTACATATGCAGAAAGGGGTCAACTTGTTACAGCAGTAATTTGCTGTTCAGCAAGTGGGAGATACATGCCACCTATTTTAATCTTTCCCCGTCAGCGCATGAAGGCAGAGTTGATGGATGGAGCACCTCCTGGTGCATACCACCCAAGTGGATGGATCCAGACTGATTTATTTATAAATTGGTTAAAGAAATTTATATTACACACAGGAGACACAAAAGATTCACCAGTTCTTTTAATATTAGATGGACATGCGACACACACTAAAAGCATAGAGCTTATTGACATTGCCAGAGAGAATGGTGTCATTCTCCTTTGTTTGCCTCCACACTGCACTCACAAAATGCAACCTCTTGACATTTCATTTATGAAACCTCTGAGTACATTTTATGACCATAATTTAAGGAAATGGTTAAGAACAAATCCTGGGCGCGTGGTAACGCAATTTCAAATTGCATCACTGTTTGAAGCGTCATATCTTGATGCTGCTACCATGACTAATGCAATCAATGGATTTAAAAAAGCAGGTATTTGGTAGTGGATAGGTCAGTATTTACTGATGCTGATTTCATAGCAGCGGAAGTAACAGACATGAGCATTATTACTGAGGATACTGAAAGTTTTGTTACCACGGATTCTGCCCTTACCACTGATAGCACATCAACCACTGAACCTTCCACTTCATGTACCGGTAGCACATCCGCCACTGAACCTTCAACTTCATGTAGGCTTAGCACATCAACCACTGTACCTTCAAGCTTTGCAATCTCGCCACGTCATTTTCTGCCCATCCCAAAACAGGCCCAAAGAAAACGTATTTCTAAACAAAGAGGAAAAACAGCTATTTTAAATTCTTCGCCTTATAAAAGATCATTAATGGAAGCCAAAGAAAAAAAGAATCCAAAGAAAAACAAATCTGTCAAAAAATCAAATGAAGACACACCATGCCTCTATTGTGAGGATCTTTATTCCAGCAGCACAGAGAGTTGGGTCTCATGTACTGAGTGCCACAGATGGGCCCATTATTCTTGTGCAGGCATTGATGAAAGAAACAAAAAACCTTACTTTTTGTGTGAGCTATGTACTAGCAGTGATTGATTATATTTGTACTAGCAGTGATTGATTATATTTGTACTAGCAGTGATTTATTTATCATATTTGTTTGAGTTCCTCCTTTGACCCCATTTTGCCCCATCCATTACCCCGTTTTGCCCCATGCTTGGGGTAAAATGGGGTTTTTATGTTATTTAAAAAAAAATGAAATAAATCAATTAGTTTACATTCTTTTGACTTGCTGTTTTGTTACAATGTTGTCTATGTTGTATTCTGATGTTTCAACATTTATTTGTAATCATTTTATTTATTTATTTATTTTTTTTTCAATTTTTGTCAAGCAACCATTTACAATTAAAGATAATTTCCGTAAAATATTTAGAAATATTAAATACAAGTACATTTCATTATTTATAATAGTTACAAGACCGGAGAACCTGAAGAAGATAAAGTCTTTTCATCAGTAACCTTTAATAATAAAAAATTGGAAATAATCGTGTATTGTTAGAAAAAATCATGTAAAGAATCGTGATTGGCAATAAGTTCGATTATGTTCTTTTTAAATTTTTGAGAGGTATTGGCTTCTTTAAGTTTACCACTCAGACTTGTAAAATGGTTTCATAGCATTGGGCCACGATAGGAAATGGCAAAGCTCGTAAGTTTTGATGAACGGAAAGGTTTTTTAAATCTTCCGGTAGATCGCGTGTTGTATCGGTTTAATGTTTTATGGAAAATATTTTCAAAAACCTTCGGCGTTTTTTTTGACTGATGTTGAAACATAAATTGTGTAATTTTGAAAATATTCAACTCATAAATATCAAGTGCCCTCATGCTTTTTAGAAGAGGTTTAGCATTTGTGAAGCGATTTTGAAAATGAATAATGCGTGCTGCATGATTCTGTTGTTTAAGGAGACAGTCGAGTTTAGATTTATTTGTACTACCCCAAACAATATTGCCATAAGATAAAAAACTATTTATGAATGCAAAATATAGTTGAGTTAGTGTAGATTTGTCTAAGATTCGTCTGGTTTTATATAAGATGCCAATACTTCTTGAGATTTTATTGCTAATATGATTTATATGAGCTCTCCAGGATAAGTTTTTGTCTATTAAAATACCAAGTAATTTATTTGTGAATGAGCGCTCAATATTGATGTTATTTATATATAGCATTGGTAAGGGTTTTGCAATAGATTGAAACTTTCGTTTAGAATGGAATAAGAAAAACTTAGTTTTATCAGTGTTTAAAGATAAGCTGTAAGCGAAAAGCCAGTTTGATATTTGTTCTAGTTCATTATTTGCTACTTAAAATAGAGAGATAATATTACTATGAGAATAGAATAAAGTGGTGTTGTCTGCAAACATAATAGTAGACATAGTATTTGATACTTTATATAGATCGTTGACATAGATTAAGAATAGCAACGGACCTAAGATGGAGCCTTGTGGAATCCCACATGATATTTTAAGTTTGTTTGTCTGAAAGCCATCATTAAGAGAAATAAACTTCTTTCGATCAGTTAAGTAACTGGTAAACCATTTTTGGTATTCGTGGCTTATTCCATAATATTTTAGTTTTTCTAATAAAATCTGATGGTTAACGGTGTCAAATGCTTTTGACAAGTCTAGGAATATACCTATAGTGAGCTTGTTATGAGAAAATGCTCTACTGATAACTTTCACAAATTGCATAAGTGCATGTTCCGTAGAGTAATTTGATTGAAAATCATATTAGTTACAATAAAGAAGATTGTTATCATACAAAAATGCAAATATCCTATTATACATGATACGTTCGAGGATTTTTGAAAATACAGGTAATACCGATATAGGTCGGTAATTTGTAACCAGACTTTCATCTCCTGATTTAAAAATGGGTGTAATAATTGCAACTTTCATTTTATCTGGAAAAACACCTGTTTTAAGCGATTTGTTAAAAATATCTAATAAAACATCTTTAATAAGTTCGTAGCAGTCTTTGATTATGCTTGCTGAAATAGCATCATAGCCTGTTGCTTTATTTTTATTTAATTTTTTTATTGAATCATCAAGTTCTTTACTAGTGATTTTTTTAAATGCTAAGCTTTTATCCGACTTTGATAGATAGCTCAAGAAATGTGCAGGAGTGTGTTTAATTCCGCTGGCTAAGTTTGGACCAATATTTACGAAAAACTCATTAAATTTTGTTGCCACCGATTTTACATCAGAGATCTGTGTGCCGTCTACAGTAATCACGCTTGGTAAGGCTTTGTTGTTTATTTTTTGTTTTCCAAGAATCTCTTTAACAGCATCCCACGTTTTTTTGCAGTTACCTTTTAGTTCTAACAGCTTGTTTTTGAAGTATGTAGTTCTGGCAATTTTTTTAGTTCTTTCATATAGACGTTTGTGCTCTAAGTAATTATGCTTATCACGTTCTTTCTTTGAATTAATAAAGCGTATATATAGCTTTTGTTTTCGCTTCGAAGACTTTAAAATGCTTTTAGTGAACCAAGGATTAAGAAGACCTTTAGTTTTAATACGGATTATTTTATTAGGAAAATGCTTATCGTACAAATTGAAAAATTTATCTAAGAAAAGGTTGTAGCTGTTATTAGCACATGTTTCGAGAAAAACAAAGTTCCAATTTACAGTTGATAGCTCTAGTTTAAACATATTTTTTGCTCTTTTATATATTTATTTTTGTGACTTTTATAGGGTTTCATTCTTAAGTACCCCATTTTACCCCAGTTTCCCCTATAAAAATGACAGTTGTAAACACAAATTTGTTTAATATTTTATTGAAGATATATAATCTCTTTTATGTTTTGGTTATGAATTATCTTAAACGTATAAAGATAACTCAAATATAATAAAGTATAACTTTGAATATAATTTAATTGCCGAATATATTGAGTGAGTGTCTATTAGACGTCTTAGCAAGACGTCTTAATGGTGTTAACAAATAGACGTCTCAAGACGTTCTTTAGACGCTCAGGCAAGATTTCAATCAGACGTCTTAGAGACATCTAAGACTAGACCTCATATCGACGTCTAACACAGTACGCCTTACAGACGTCTATACGAGACGTCTAAAATGTGTTCAAATGTGTCAACAGGTAGACGTCTTAAGACGTACTTGAGACGCTGACTTAAGTTACCGTTAGACTTCTAATAGACATCTTTGTGCCGGCTGGGTAAGAACTGATTTTTTGAAATTAAAAATTTTTAGAACCAACGATTGATCATACTATGCCGTTGTAATAAAAGAAAAATCTGAAATGATAATTAAATTGACAAAATTTCTAAAAAGATCTAAAATTGGGTGTTGAATTAGCGGCATTTTGAATACAAAGTTTGTTGTACAGATTTTAAAGTTTTATGTATTCTTGTTTGTTAAATCTATTTTGCTAAAGGTTACAAACAATTTAGTAAACAAGAACTAAACTTTAATGCAAAATAAAACTTTTATAAGATGGTATCTTTTTTTGCTCAACAATGCAGAAAGCTGTTTACATTCTCATTTATATTGAAGTTCTTTACAAAATTCTTCTGATTTAATCTGATTTAATCGAAATTATGTTTTCAAATTAAATAACTTTTTTGTCAAAATAATATTTAAAGACATTTAATAACAATAGAAAAACTTAAGAAAATCTCATTTAAATCTAAAAAAGTATTAATAGAAAATAAAATATTTGTGAAAATACGCTTTCTACCATTAGTCGTATAAAATACTCATTACGCTTTCTACCATTAGTCGTATAAAATACTCATTACGTTTTCTACCATTAGTCGTATAAAATACTCATTACGCTTTCTACCATTAGTCGTATAAAATACTCATTAGTCGTATAAAATACTCATTACGCTTTCTACCATTAGTCGTATAAAATACTCATTACGCTTTCTACCATTAGTCGTATAAAATACTCATTAGTCGTATAAAATACTCATTACGCTTTCTACCATTAGTCGTATTATTTTAATGTTATTTTTATGGATCATTTTACTACTGCACCAGATATTCAACAAGTATATATAAACAACACAGATTTTAAGTTAACCTCTTAAATGTAGCTTGATTAAAAATTACATTCTATAATATCGAGTCGGAATTAAAAGGTTTTTTTCTCGTGAGTTTCACATTCACGTGTCGACTACCTCAAGTACGGGATACTCAAACACGTGTCAGAAACCCTAATCAGCTAGGGATTTTTTTAGTAAAATTCACGTTTTAGAAACTACTAACACTTTTATTAAAACGTGCTTTTCACGAAAATTCTTTTGAGTCGTCTTAAAATGAATTTAAAACTAGTATTTAAAATCTAACTTAGCGCGTTTGTGGATGTGAATTCACAAAACTTTCGTAAGCATAAATTTGGCGTAAATTTGGCGTAAGTTTTAAACTTAATAATTTTCGTATTCACAAAACTTGCGCAGTTGCTAAGCACAAAACTTACAATATATATTTCGTAAGTTCGATTCTTAAATTATGGTATTCAGAAA